CGGTGGCTTTTGGTTTTAGCAAATCAGTCGCTGCGTCAGCCATTTGACTAAACGACAGCAAACCTACTCTGCTATGAAATAAGGTCAGCTTATTGATAACATAGATAGCAGTGAATATTAGAGATAGTGAAGAAAGAGAACAAAATCCATTCAGTCATTGATAATGCTCAAATCGGTTGTGAAATACTGAAAGTTTACGTGTATAATTAACATTCTTAGTTAGAAACTTAGGTCCGAATATAGACGCGTTAACTTACTGGCAGCACAACGACATTCTTGAGAACCAGCATGGAGTACGTTTATCTGTTTAACAGAATGAATGTGTTCCAAGCCGAAGACAGAAGGCAGTCTAGGTTTTGAGACGATCTAAACATCTCAGAAAACTTTTTAGATCGTCAAGATGGTCAGTTGTAACCAATTTGAAGCACATATATACTTAAAGCAACGGCCATGCACTGGGAAGCAACGGCTTGAGCTCGCCGTTGCCCTTCTTCAGCAAATCACTGAGTTGGGCTTTCTCCGATCGATTTATTGATTTTGTTGCCGATGTCAACCTGCGACGATTAAAGTCGCGGATAGAGATTAATTTATTATAGTGGAGAAAGGACAACGTAAATTACATCAATGCGATAATAATACAATAATAACGTAGCATTAGCAACGGTGCCTAACTGCGCAACCACGACAATACTGTGACAGTGCTAAGTGCGACGGGCAAAATAAACCGATAAGAGTGAGGATCGATAAATGCGAACTGGTAGAGCGAACTAGGACTGCTGGGTTTGATAGGCAGCGGACCTCGGGATGCATTTATGCTTACTCCGAATGAGACTTAAACATTGTAGGGGGGGGGGGGGGGGAGGGGCAGTGGGTAATTAAATGTCGGAATGATTCTGGGGCGATTATATGCATGTAGGCTCGAATCCTTTCCCGGTGGGTCAAACAGAACCTATGTCCCACTGCTGTAATCGTAAACTCAGCTTACTATGCATTGAACTTCGGAATCGATATGAAATGGTACGAACAGGATGAAACAATCTGTGAAGATATTGAAAGAGAAGATGGCACAGCGACCGATCACGGGGCAAGCAGATTAGAAATGGCCTACGCCAAGATGATGAAGCGGTGCGGCCGCGACCGCGACCTTCAGAGGACCTATCGCGATGGAGCATGTTAGCGACTTGTTCATGGATCCTCGGCCTTCGTCTAGAAAATAGAACGGCTCCGTGGAACCGTTGCTACAATAAGAATCATACGCCGTGACTTGCTTGTCCGTAACAACGTGGATCAACAAAGATCGTCTTATGCAGGAAGAACGGCTTAATGGTAACGATGCGAAATCAGAGATAAAGTGTCATTGAAGAAAGCCAGTCAAGACTAATCTGAAGCGATTGTAGATCATTGTGAGGTGCACTTTTTAATATGACACCTCATCACACATATTTGCGAATACTAGCACTTGTGGCCTTCGATTGGATTCCTCGCTCGCGTTCATCATCCGTGTTTTATTGAACATTTAGCGTACTGTCTCGACAGCTTGCGTGGAGAATTTATCTTACTTAAGAGTGTAGTCAATAGTCCAGACTTCTGTTTTTGATTCTTGAGAATAGCAGAACTAAGGAGCCTCATGTAGACCTATTGAAGGTAGAGCGTTAACGTGATGAGCCGATCTTTGCTTCCAGATAGCGTGTGTAATTAGTTAGTGCGCTATTCCTGCCATGAGGTGAATTCCAACAAGCATCAGCTAGTCAAACTTCAGGTTGCAATTCGAGTGGATAGGAAGAAAGATCAATTTCAGCCTTTAGTTTACAGATGTGAATAGCAAGAAGAAGAAACTTGTTCGGTTACAAAAAGACTTTGACATAGCAGACGTTCCAGTCTCTCAAGCCAAAGAATAATAGAAAGTCAAGAGAGAAATGTGTACCTACACTTGAAGATTTTTGGCTTACCAGTGACTTCTAAGAAAGTTCTTCGATCAAACAAAAATTATTGGTGGTAAAAGATAAAAGTTATTTGATTGTTTTTGAGAAAAGAAATAAGAGATTTGACACCGATTTACTTACTAGCTATGCGTGCATGACCTTCATCACGTTAGCTGCGAAGTCGACATGTAAATTCGTCACTACAACCATCGATTGTAGATATCCTGATGGTGTTCAAAGTGATGCCAATTCAAATGACTCTCGAATTTGCTCTAACGCGTGATTATGCGACCAAATTACAATAAAGTGCTGCGCGATGCCATCATTGAAACAATTCAAAGATCTAGGAAATGATTTCCATAAGATATTTGCAGAGAATATAAGCATTTTCAAGAGCAAAATGATGAATGTATACGAAAATCAGGATCAAATTAAGCAAGAGCAAGGTAATGTATATAATTATTATGTTATGTTAATAAAGAGCTTCAAAAGTTCTTTTACACACCTCCCACTTATGACAAGACGACGTATTTACCTATTAAGACAATCGAGCTAAGGCAAAGAAAATTGAAAGTCACACTCTTCATCAAATTTCACGTAGAAAATTCTTGATAAGTCCATGTATGGCATCCATTCGTACCAATAGTCAGAAAAGACATGTTTTCTGCACTTTTTGACATCCCATTAATCATTCGACATCATAAATCTCTAAACTATGAAAGATGTAATTTGTTTGTTAAGGGACTTTATATTAAGCTTTAACACGAAAAATGAAATTTCATTTTGCACTCAAGTTTATTCTCTCAACAAAGCTTTTCCTTAAAAACTAAGTAAATTTTCATAAACAATTTGACAATTTAAAGCGTTTTTAGTTTCCTAAAAAAAAACCTTTTATTGCGCTGCAACACTGAAATTAAGAATGCATTTCACTGCGGCGCGCATATCTGGCATCGATATGTGGATGGACTTCGCAACATTGGCAACAAACCATGGCTTTTCAATAAGCAGTCGATAGCTCAGGTCACGAGGATTTCGATTGTATAATAGCTTTTTGAAGAGAAATCTCTTAGCGCGTCTGTAGCAGTCTGAATAAAATTGTGTTGCACATTTCGCTAGGCATACCTTTTTCCTCAGAGTTGAACTAACCATTCGATAGCATAAAGCTCAGCAATTCCAATGACATGCTTGATTTTTGAGAAAAACTTCTTGGTGTGTTGTTCCAGCTGAAAGAATATTGAGCTCCGCACTCGGAGCACATCGCAAGCCACATGAGAGTTGCCCTGCGCGATCAACACGGCGTCGATTACGTAAACTCAATTATTCCTTCAGCTGTAACAAAGCAATGAAAAGTTGTGTTCACAATAACGCATATTATTGAAATTGTTGAGATGTGTGTGGTCTAATGATTATTGAAAATCTAAATGAACAACTGTGTCCCGCAAAAGATGCTTAAGTGTGAAATGATGTCTTATCTTTACTACTGCTGGACATTATGAAATATCTAATGACCATTCAAAATTAAATTGCGTCTTTCAACTGCTCGAGATTCACGCTATCGAATCATTACTTCAACGCCAAAAAATTTGAGAAAATTTCTTTTTTTTTCAAATGTGGATGCTGATAAGGGAAAGCATCATCATTGTTGACAAAATACTCATTTTTCTAAATGCAATTCGCCTTGTGCTTCTTGGCTCTTGTCCAAAACTGAAAAAGTTTAAAACTAGAAGTTTTTATTGTGATATCCTTTGTACAATTGAATGCAATTAATTGATTGCCAAAATCAGCATGACAGCCTAGTAAGCTAGCGTTTTCTATAGTCGAGACACATATCCAGAGACACGTATAGACATGAGATATATCCAAATCAAAAGCACATGAGCAAGTAGAGAGAAATGTTGTGTCAACATCATACAAGAATCTCAAAAATTTTCACAAAATGAGCGAGAAAACTTCAATCAAACAAAGAAAATCTCTCACCGCTGCGCAATTCGTTCGTCGGGAAATTTCGTCACCTGGCATGTAGCGAATTTGTAAATAAATCGGCGCTGATCCACCTGCCGTACGGTGACCTTTTTTGAACAATTCGGCGCTAATTCCTTTATGAAGAAGGTAATATTTCCTGCAACAGATTGGCCGAACCGAAAGGCACCTTGCTACGGATGAGGTTGCACGGCCGAAAGACGTGCCTAGTTTTGTATAAGTGTCGTCATAAACCTCATAAAATGCTTCAGATGTATTACCACAGTTCTTCCTGATTATAAGGGGGCGAGTAAAAAATCGACCTTATTCGCCCGAGAAGAAATTTTTATAGGAGTGAAAACAACCGTTGGAAAGCTAAGATTTTTGTCTACCGCTTCACATCGCTCAGCGGTTTTCAAAAGACCTTTTCATGAAGTTGTAAAATTCACACACAACTATGTCTCAGACGAGCATATTTCTCGCCGGACAGAGCCCTTTCTTTGGACTGTTGATAATCATGCGATAGAGTAATCGTTTCTGATTCCAACGCTGTAATCAAATCGAAAAACCATTTCTTTGAAAGGCGACAGGTAAAATAAGTTGAATTCCTATCTGCAATCAAGGGAGTATTTGGCCTATTCAGACGCGGCTGGCTGAGGCAAACATGTGTGCTGGCGTGATAACCGATAGACCTTGCACCGGTCCAACATCGTGTCAGCGCACGTGGCTGCTTCAGCCAGCCGCACGTGAATAGGCCAAAGATCTCCTGATCGCACATGGGAATTCAACTTATTTTACCTGCTGCATTCCAGAGAAACGGTTTTTCAGGATATAAGCACAGCTTTGGAGTCAGAAAACGATCGCGCTATCGTTTGATTGCCTATAGTTTAAGGAAAGAACTTTGTTCGGCGAAAGTTATGCGCTCCTGCAACGCGAGATATCTTCTTTTGTATCAGCGTTAAAAGGCTTTTTCGAAAATCGGCAACTTTGGGCTGTAGTCTGATGTCACGGCTTTCGAATGGTTGTTAACACTCCTGTGAAAAGTTCCTCTTCCACGAATGAGGCCAGTTTCTCATTGTTTCCTCATACCTAAGAGAATTGAGTGGTGAGCGAAAATACGACCTCAGGCGGGAGTCGAACCAGCGCTTCATTCATACCGTGGACGAGTGCTACCACTCCACCACCGGGGTACATTCACACCATCACTCGTCCCCTGCATGAATAAAACGCAAATTCGGAGCCGTCTGAGGCTGTATTTTGCTTATCATTCAAGTCTCTTAAGTATATATGAACCATCATAACAGTGCGAAATGCAGTGAAAACAATAGAAATTTCGCGTATACTTATCACAATGGCTGTCAGCTCAACTGCGTTCATAAAACGAAAGCGCATAGCTGACCAAACCTGTTAAAGGTAGTGGCTGGCAGCTTTCACAGAGATATTGAAGAATGGGTAGTAGTGCGAATGTAGCCCGGTCGTATAGTCGTAGCACGCGTCGTCGGTATGGATGAAACGCGGGTTCGACTCCCGCCCGTGGCCGTATTTTTGCTTCACACTCAATTCTCAGGTATATACGAAGATCATAATACTGTGAAATAGGCAGTAAAAACACCAGAAATTTCGAGTGTCCTTTGTAATCAAAAAAAGCTACTACCGGATTATATTTGCCTGCAAACGAGCGCATGTGGCGCAGTAGTTAGAGGTGCTCTGCGTCGCACACAAAGTCAATGGTTTGATCTCGCTCTCATGGCTCACCAAGCCATCCATTCATCGGGGGCCAGCAAATTGAAACAGGCTGTTTTAGACTTGTCTGGGAACATATGCAGCATTGACCCGGTACAGTGGGAGGCCACTGCGGGACATGCCAAATATGCATTCAAACACAAACGAAATCATAAATTGAAGACGAATACATGGCGCACCCTTAAGGGATTGGTCAACGACGAGAGCTTTATCCTTTTATCCTTTTATATTACTGTGAATCATAAAATTTTCTGGTCTAGTCAGTACCTCAAGCACGCATTGTGGGGACGGGGGGTGGGGAAGCCCCCCGCTGCAGCGAGTATTAGAACACTTGGCCAAGGTTTTGCACTCACTCATCATCCTTGGGCATATCTGTAAGATTATGCCATCACTAGAAAAATGGTCAAATAAAACAGAGTTCTTGTAGATGGCATTTATGATGAAGGTCTGACACAAGTATTCTTAAAACTATTATACGTATCATGTCTTGAAATAGTAAAAAGTTTCAACAAAGGGTTTATCAACGGAACATTTTGAAGGCAATTGTTTCTACTAAATAATGCATAAACAACAGACCATCTGATTATGAAAACTGTCATGCTTTAGTCGACTTTCATGTATTCTATTATGGGTCTTGCTTACTGAAGACAGAAAGCCTCTAAATTTTAAGTTTGATGGTTAGATATAAATAAAATCTGTCTGTTTGAGCTTATCTCAATTACCGCTAAGTTCGTTTACGCAGCCTCTTCGGGAGTTCCACAAGTACATTTGATTTTCTCATTTCAGACTCTATAGATCACTTATGAGTGCACATTCTCCCATGCCAAGACATTAGAGATAATTATGGTGTGAATTGAATTCTGTAAATGAAAAGTGGATGCGCTTCAAACTAGATATTTTATCATGTGCCAAATATCTTCTACAATGTTTACTGGTCTAGATGTGGTCGCAAGGACTATAAGTCGTCATATGGCACCAAGGTGCTCTCGTGTCAACAAGGTCAGAAATGCGTGTGTTGACGACCTGAGAACGCCCTAGCAAAACTGTGTTCTGTTTCTCTATGAGAAGAATAAGGAAATAAAGTAAAATAAAATAAAATAAAAAGAAAATAAAAAAACAAGAAATAAGAAAATAAGGAAATCACACTCTATAAGAATTCAGCATGTATTTGGAACAGAACTCTAAAGATTCTTTAGTCGCAGTTAAGCCCGATCTTTATGGATCACAGTTGCATGACAATAAAAAAAACCGAGGGAAAACTTCTGGAACTAACATCGTGTGAATGAGATCATCTGAGTATGTAACTAAGTAAAATTTCCAAAACTGATAAAGAAAATGTTGTTTAGAAATCTCATGGATTTCAAAAAAAATGTTTGAAGCTTAAGCGAGGTTGGTACGCCAGGGCCATACACCGGTGTTTCGGAGGTTCGTCCTCCTCGTCAGTGACCCACGCCCCACATCAAGCCCTGCATTGTAGCAAGGAAGGAGGCGTATGTGGTGACGGTTACAGTGTACAATGACACTGTGCCATCACCACTTCTTTGTCGATGGATCTCGGCTGGTAGAGCAAAACTGACCCATGGCATCGACTGTTTTTAGAACCTCGCAATAAACAATCAGAAAAATTTCAAAAAAAGAATGTTCAAAGCCTAAGCGAGGTTGGTACGCCCAGAGCCATGCACCGGTGCTTCGGAGGTCTCTCGCTCCTTGTCAGTGAATTGGTTCATCGTGACGAGTTAGAGCTAGCATAGTGGTTAGAAGAAACTTTTAGCAGGCAGTCCTATCAGTCCAAAGCTGGAATAAGTTGAAGCGCCGTCTCGACAGTCACTTGGGAGCGCTGGAAGCAAACGACAATCATAAGTGGTCAGTCAATTGTCAGCTAGTAATGCACACATTTATGCTCTGGATGACCGTTAACTATTTATTCAATGTTCGCTCTAATGCATTCAAGAGTTTCAACAACTTCTCATGCTTCCGATTTTTGTAAAGTTTCTGTGAAATAGACTTTTACATTCAATGCTCTATATGACAGGAACACAGCGATTCATCTATTCATCATATATGAAAATCTGGCACTTTTGCTAATGTTTCGACGGATTCAGGTATTTCGGAGATTACAAAATGTTTTCTCGATACACTACCGCCTCAGCTGACTAAACTAAGTAGCTCTGTTATCTTCAACTACACTCTTAGATCTTAAACTCACTGGAAACCCTTAGTTATTGAGAATACTTCTCTGAATCATTCAAGAATTGCTCTCATTGTGAAATCTTTGAATCATTCGCATCATAATAATACGACTAAGAACTGGTAAGTAGTACCTTACACCATGATTTATGATAATGGTGATAAAAATGATGTCAGCAGAGGATTGTGTAATGTGATGATGGGTCACTTATACAATTCATGTGGCACGTTCGTACCACTCCTCAAACCTACAAACCTCTTCTCGTCATTCATCACAAGTCTGAGGTAAGACGTGCTATTACTGTTATTATGAGCAGTTATGGAATGATTTCTTTCCGCAGAATCTTACGCGTCGCCCATATGTCTCTTTCAATTTTCTCTTCAGCATACCATTGACACAAAGCAATATGCAGAGAAGTTTCTATCAGAGATTCAGAAGTAGTCTGATATTTTTGGCAAGTTTAATAACGTAAATTTAGAAATATTTCCAAGACGTGTTTTAGCTGGAGCGAACGATTTACTCGCGGCATCAGCAGACTGGTTCGTATCTCGGTACTTCCATAAACAAACCAGTTTTTTTTCCTTAAAAACTACACAGTCCATTGAAGTTTTGAAGTTTTAGACCATTTATGGATATCAGGGTGATATATTCACCCAAAAAATCCGTTAAAAAGTCACTAAATGAGATTATAGTAGAGAAATCCAAATCAATCGATGAGAAACAAGTTTTGAAGCAATCAACATTATAGCGTAGAAACGGCAATGTTTTTCTCGAACTGTGTACGACATTATTTATTCTGTTGCATATTTCCTGAGAAGAATCCCGATCCAAGCGTATTTATTGTAAGTATGACTGAATTATAGCTATTTAATTGCTTGTGCAGATATTTGAATATGGAATCAGTTCAGATTGTTGCATCTGTTTATTTGTACGATGAAGGTTATGTCTCTGTTTAATTTTCATAGAATTCAAATCAATACTGACTCGCGTTCGTGACACTTAGGAAAGTGGTACTAGTAACTCAACTCCTCAGTGATAAGTATCACTAGAATGGTGACTATCTACAATATTTCATGGTTTTGAGAAGCTAGTGTACGAAAAACGTGGTTTCGGAACCCTCCTTACGCTTAGCTTTGCTTACATAAGGGTCTAAAGAGCCTGGGTTTTTCGATAATACACACATTGGGAAAGATGGCCCTTTTCTAGGATTCCGAGAGCTGTGATCTTTTCTTTTACAAGCCGTTCTTACCAGTTATGTGTTTGTGTCTTTGTTTTTAATTCTATGGAAATGAATCATAGTACTTGATTCTTATCTCAACTTCTAAGGGCGATGTTCAATTCTACTTCTCACCGTTTGAGAGAGCACTTTTCACTGCTTTGAAAAACCGTTGCTGGTTGGTTAGAGATTAATGAGTTCACTAGGCTAGATATGTGTCTTATGAACATCAATACTCTAAAAATTCAAGCCTAGGAAACGCTATTGAAACTTCTATATACCTATACAACTCAGGGTTCACGCAGTGGCATGGAGGCTCAAAAATTTCCATTGCTGCACTAGTCGTACGAAAAACTTTTTTGTAATTATCTGTTACATTCCCACCCAATTTTCCCTGCCTAAATCACTAATTCTTAAGGAAAATCATGCGAGATATCTGGTCTGCTTTGGCGCCTTCCATGTGAGACACGTTGCGCCGACTTTAATCGTCATTCGAACACTCATCTTTTTTATCATTCTCGTATACACCTTGGTAACAACATCGAATGATCTCTTGAAGATATGTGAGTTGTTTTTTACAATAAAAACAGTTTTCCTGCTTTTTCCACTCCTAGCCTACTATCTACTTCAGTTTTTTTCCATTTTATTCAAAAACACTGTTCTTGCAAAACTTTCACTTGATCAAGCAAAAGCTTAATTATGATTCTTTGCAATATCGAACGTCACAAAAGGCGTTTCGAGAATTAGTGTCTGCCATGGCCAAGTTTTTCCCATGTGTAACTCAATTACATTGCTACTCTTTTTATCAGTAACAATTATTTTATTTCGAAGTTGAACGGGAAAGTACAACAAGCAAATATGCTGCTGGACGCTGGTTCAAACGCTTTGATGCCGAGATTTTGATCTCGAACACAAGCTACCTTTAGGACGTCCAACAAAGTTGAAGGGTCGCCGATTTGGATCGTTCGATGAACTTGAAGAAGTATGTTAAGAGTTCACCGATTCGAAGTCGAAGGGACGATATTTCGACCAGATTCGAAATG